CTCGACTCGTCACTCATACTTCGCACTCATCGCTTCACTCGTTCATGTTCTCGCACTCATTCACTCACTGCACTCATTCTAATGTGGTATATTTAATTCTGCATTTTTTTTAATTATTTATCATACTTTTACTGGTAAACGCGTGGAGAATTTTGCGTAAGAGACCAGATGTAACCATCTGCCTCGCCCAAGGAATCGAACAAAACTTATGATCAAATATACTTATAAATATAAGACTTAAAAAGACAAATCATATATAGGTGTTTCATAAAACTATTCACCTTAACTAATGCTGAAATATGGCAGCGTTTTCTACTTGCGAATATTGAATGGAGAGTAGAGAGCAACTGAAGCATCTTCACCAGAAGCAAGGCATCGGGACCCGCGCTATTTAAACCTCATTGATGTAAACTTAATTACTACGTGTCATTTTGAATGTTTACTCAGTAATTTGTATACTATAGTATAATACAATTGTATAGTATTGTACCGAGGCTATATAAAGACAAAATAAATTTGCATTGGGATTAATACTCATCTTGCCAGCAGTAGTTTACCTGAATTTACCCGAGGGCCACTAACACTCTATTGGCCCTCGATGAGGACAGGAAGCCGCCGGCTTGTCAAATGTCCCCCTTTCCTTTGTCCTGAGGATTTGATTTATCATGATGGCATGACTAGTTCATGCCATACTCATCCTGTGAGTAATAGTTTATTTGTACGTGCCATACTCATCCTGAGAATAATACAGTAGTTTATTTGTACGTGCCATACTCATCCTGAGAACAATAGTTTATTTGTACATGCCATACTCATCCTGAGAACAATAATTTATTTGTACGTGCCATACTCATCCTGAGAACAATAATTTATTTGTACATGCCATACTCATCCTGAGAATAATACAGTAGTTTATTTATACGTGCCATACTCATCCTGAGAGCAATAGTTTATTTGTTCGTGCCATACTCATCCTGAGAATAATACAGTAGTTTATTTATACGTGCCATACTCATCCTGAGAACAATAGTTTATTTGTACGTGCCATACTCATCCTGAGAACAATAGTTTATTTGTACATGCCATACTCATCCTGAGAACAATAGTTTATTTGTACATGCCATACTCATCCTGAGAACAGTAGTTTATTTGTACGTGTCATACTTATCTGGTGAGAGGTAGACTTTTATGAACCATATATTCACCCTGAAGAGGTAATTCTTTATGCATCCATACTCATCCTGTAAAAGGTAATTTTGTGTGCACGTCATTCCCATCCTAATTGGTAGTTAATTGTACCCACCATACTCAACCTGTGAGTGGTGGGTAATTGTACACCCCATATGCATCCTGAATAAGTGTTAGTTAATTTTATCCCCTATACTCATCTTGTGTATAGGCCTTTCCATTGGAGAATTTCAGCAATGTGGAGAGGGGAGGTCCTGCTGCATGGGTAACAGCTTCTCCTTCATATCGACCTACCCTGGCTTTGCGCCCTGGAGTGGACACTCCTACTTCAACAACCAGAGCACAACTCCGTAGTCTCCCGAGACTGCAGGATGCCTACTACTACTACTACTCATCTTGTGAATAATAGTTCACTGTATACCTCATACTCATTCGATGACAGTTAAAATATTTTTAGTGCATCCCATATCATCCTGCAAGTGTCAACTTTTTGCAATAAACACCTATCCTGTGAGTGGTAGTTAACTGTATACCCAATGCTCAACCTGTGAACAGTAATTTGTATACCCAGTGCTCAACCTGTCAACAGTACTGTAGTTTGTATACCCCTATGCTCATCCTGTGTGAAGTATATTATTGTGCATCCTATACTCATCCTGTGTGATAGTTTATTGTGCACGCTATAATCATACTGTGAGTGGTAGTGTGACATAGTACAGTAAAATTGCTGGTGCATTATACAGGTGACTGCCATGTGACACAGGTCACACTTAAACAATGCAAGCATTAGATTACCAATGTTTGTATCATAGGTGACAGTCCTCACTGGGATCAGTGCTGCTGCCCTGGCGAGGGCTACATCCAGCTTATAATAGAGTACTTCAGTACCCTATCCTAACCTAGCAGAGGACCCAAAACAGAAAATGGGACAGTATGTATATTTTGCAAACCACTATCATTTTCTAGTACAATGATTTTTGCCTTAGGTAAAGTATGCATCAAAATGTGATGCTCTATTAGGAGGATGGGTTGCATAATCAGTGTATAGTATATGACATAACATTTATCATGTTGTTTACTATACAGTTTTTAGAAAGCACATATATTCTTGGATTTTTCAGGTACAGTTCTGTAGTGTCTTTCTAATGTTGGATGATAACATGTCAAAGAATAATTACTTGATGAGACTGTCATTTACTGTTCGGGTTTGGATGATGAGAAATTTAATTTATTATACTGTACCTAATTTTGTGTTTGTACAGCCTGTTCAAGAATGTGCTGGTTGAGATCATTAACAAAATTTCACCGATCATTTTCCTAAGTTCAGTCATTCTTGTCCTTGCTGTAGGATGCAATGTACCATATATTTATCCAGTGAGTGGTAGAGTAGTGGAACAAATTAGAGACATATAATGGGCTTAGGAAATGAACCCCAAATCTTTTTAGCTAAGAAGGTCACAGCATTGATGAGCTAGTTAATTATAATTTACCATGGCTGGGGACAGGAAGACTATTAAGGGGCTGGGCAATCAAAAATATTCATCCAAATATGAAATAGAGTATAAAATGTTACACAAATCTAATGTTATTTGACATCAGTGTCATGAAAATTTCATCCCAATATGTTAAGAAATAGATTTTATATGAATTTAAAAAAAAATATGTGCAACTGGTACTGATGATAAGATAAGAATAAAACTTCCTAGTTAGTGGAACTGAGGGATAATGCAGTGATAAAGAGATGCAAGCACCGGTCCGATGCACAAAGAAGAAAAGTAGTACAGTAGTAAGGAGGGTCCACAAAGTAGGTATGTAGCTGGTGCCTTATAGGATTGCAGATTGCCACCTGGAGGGCAAAATTTCACACAAATAATGAGTATGTTATTTTGCTGTATTTTATTATATATCATATAAATACATTGCCCAATGCCAATATTTTATGTCCACAAATTTTTTTTTGGGGGGAGGTTATCTTGAGATGATTTCGGGGCTTTAGTGTCCCCGCGGCCCAGTCCTCGACCTGGCCTCCACCCCCAGGAAGCAGCCCGTGACAGCTGACTAACACCCAGGTACCTATTTTACTGGTAGATAACAGGGGCATAGGGTGAAAGAAACTCTGCCCATTGTTTCTCGCCGGCGCCCAGGATCGAACCCGGGACCACAGGCTCACAAGTCTAGTGTGCTGTCCGCTCGGTCGACCGGCTCCCCAGGGGGAATTTTTTTTCTCTCTCCTTTGTTTCTCATCTGATTTTGTTGTAGCTTCTACATCTTGGAGAATGCATACCCGTCACTACATATGTGAAGTTGGAACGAAATTGATCAATATGTAAATCAGCCACAGGTGGCAGAACTTAACTTCATTTTTTTTAGCAGAGTTATTTACAGATTTCAAATTCTATTTTCTTTGTCTCTTTAGGTTGTTTTGCTGAATGGGGACCAGATGAAGGGCTTTATCACTTATATACAGTATAGTGTACTTATATATCCCTAACCCATTATCCCTACTCTATATTTAGTTTTTTTGGGGGGTTATTTTATCTCGACTTCATTTCAACACATATTGACCTACAACTTTTACATATTCGAGTACGAATATCAAGAAATATTTAACTTACCTATTTAATCAAACTTACAAGATATGTCATAAATTAAAACTACTGTACTATACAGGTACATGTATTCATTGTAAAGCATTTTACCTTCCTTTTTCTCTGTGAACAGGATTTCAACTTTTGAGACAACCTACAAAATTCAGTTTCTGAGCAATTCTCACCATTTTTACATATGTGGAAAGTATTTAGTTCTAAGGTGTCATAAATGGCATCTATTCATAAACCCATAACTTTAGGAGTAATAAATTTTTTGCGTCTAAATTTTGCGCATATTTTGAGGCCACATTGACTACTTTTTTTACAGTAAACTATACTCTCAAGTTAGATTTTATATTTATGAAAATGAATGTTATATGCCATTCTGAGCCCATAATGAATAAAATAAAAATTAAAAATTGGTGTTATATTAAATTTGTGAACTTAATTGAAATTGTGACATTTAAATTTTTTTCAAAACTAATTTTTTTTTTCCTGTTCATGTTATGATATTGATCTATTAGGAAAAGTTGGAGCATTTACCATGTAGATTATGCACAAAAAATTTGAGTGTTTGAGGATGGTTGCGTAATCGAGGACCCAGCCCCTTAAGTTTATCGAGGTCCCCTCAAGCAAACAATTGACCTTTCCCAGCATGCAACCCACAGGTAAAGTTGGAGTCGGTGATCAGCATCTCATGTTTGTATAATTAAGATCAAAATACTTGGTCCACATTGGTGTAGTAAATATATCATCGAGTGTAGAAGTGTGCAAGGTATTAAGCAGAGGTGAAGGTGAGTACAACACCATACCTTTCCCTAGACATAGTGAGGAAGGGGGGAATACAATGGTGCCATTACAATCATCAGGGAATTCATAAGAAATGGAGAGCTAATCACACTTGTTAATGTGGTAGTAGCTATTGCCAGAAAAGTGACAAGTATATAAGGACTCATGGTCCTCTTTACACTCATGGTAAAGAGGACCATGAGTGTAATTACCTAAGTGTAGTTACAGGATGAGAGCTATGCTCGTGGTGTCCCGTTGTCCCAGTACTCTTTGTCATATAATGCTTTGAAACTACCGACAATTTTGGCCTCAGCCACCCCCTCATTTAACTTGTTCTGACCGTCTACCATTCTGTTTGTGAAAGTGACTTTTTAAATATTTTTACAGCAGCTTTATTTAATTAACTTAAATATATAACCTCTTGTTCTTTAAGTT